GGGCCTTGTCCGATCAGTTGAAGGCATTTAAAAAAAAAAAAAAAAGGCTACAGTCCCCAAGGAGGGAAGAATTCTGCCTCCAGACCTGAACTGCAACTCTTCCCTGGGTCCCCAGCCTGCTGGCTACCCTGCAGATTTTGGACTTGCATCTCCACAGTCACGTGAACAAGTTCCTTAAAATACCCCCCTCCGTATACCTAGAAATGCACATCCCATTGGTTCTGTTTCTCTGGAGAACCCTGACTATACACTACGGGGGGTATAAGCCAGCACACTCGGAGATGTGGGAGCGGCTGGGGCACGGGGCAGAGACAGAGCCTGGGGCTCCGGGCAGCCCGGCGAGGCTCGGCTCGCAACCCTCCTATGGCCAGGCCGTGGTCTGGCGGGGAGCTCCGTAAAGCACAGTCCCTACAATCGCGCGCTGAAGCTACTCTGAGTTCGTTTCTCTTATTTGTAACCCACTACAACCCAACAAAACTGCCCACTTCTGTGGACTTTCAACTCTGTCACTTTTCACAACATGGCAACCGTGAACGAGACCCACCCTACCGGAGCGCTTTGCAAGTGAAGTCACCCACAGGCCCACCTGCTCCTGTAAGTGACACCCACTCCACACGACGGGCTCGGGGCCCAAGACAGCGCGACCCTCGCCAAGCCAGGGCCCCAAGCCCCTACCGGCAGGAAGGCGGAGCAGAGAAGTCACCCGCCAAGAACTTGCCCACCCCAGCCCTGCTCCTGCTATGGGCTCCACAGCCAGGACACAAGGCTCAGCTTTCTACTTCTTGGCCCACAAGCCCGACACGGGGTTTGCAATGGAGCTGCCCGCAGGGGGGTGACAGGAGGAGGCTGGTCATTACCCCGCTCTGTAACAGAGCCTGGCATATGGTAAGCACGGGGTAGATGTAACTCAGTACATCCACTGCACTGACACCTACAACACAATATAAACCGGGGACCACTAACTGGTTTAACAGCTGAGGAACGGACCCATGGGGGTCGAGCACCTTGCCCACGATCACATACAAGTGCAAAATAGCAAACCTCGAATCTGAAAACAATCTTTGCAGCCACCAGTTTGACCTCACCTCTAGGTGTGTGCTCGATGCACGAGCTCACAGACATTTCTGCAACTTGCCCTCCCTGCCTCTCCCACTCTCCACACACACGGCCTGGATGCCTTTGCTTCGGCTTCCCCGTCTCATGAGGCAAAAGAGCCCAAGAAGACAGAGCAAAGCAAAACAGCGACAAAAACCTGCCTGAGGAAGGATGCCTGGCATGGATGCCAAAGGGGCAGGCGGTCTGGGGGCGCAGGTAGCCCCACGGCTACAGCCAGGGAGGGCGTGCAGTCAGCTGGGGGTGGGGTGGGGGTGGAGAAGAGCTGCAGGAAGATTGAGGCAGGAGCAGAAAAGCCATGGACCCCCGGCTTCTTGACCCTCCAGGCAATGGTGCCAGGGCAAGGGTCTGAGGGAGGCCTGGACACGGGACGTTGTACCCAGTAGGCTTCAGATGGATCCCACTGGGTCCTGAGGAGGACAGACAGATGGACCGACAAGAGAGGAGCTGATGCTTCTGAAATGGCAGGAACCAAGACCAGCGAGAGTTGTCTGAGCGGAGTAGACGGGGGCGGGAGGCGTGGACATGGACCCACCTCCCGGCTTGAAACCTGTGAGCAGGGCCCTGCATGTCTCCGGGCCTGTGTGGGAGGAGGAAGGATGTTGCCTTAGATTGGGTTATAAAGAGTCAAAGATTAATCCCGTGGCCAGACAGTAAAAGGACCAAAGTGCTGAATTAGTAATTCATAATTACCATGTGATCAATAATTAATCTATCACAAAGGACAACGCCAGAGTCAGCAGGCAGAAGTCTTGCTCAGAGTTTGGGGGCAGGGCGGTGAGTGGGCCGAGCGGGGCTCACGGAAAATCTGGACCCCCGGAGGGAGAGGTACACACACCGCTGTCCTCTTGTCTCCTGTCCTTATCTGCAAACTGAGGAAGCAACACTCAGCAGGAACACTCACAAGTCTGGGGCTTCAGGAAAGTTCTAGAATGTGTCCTACACTCCTATTTAGCTGCCACATAACAGCTGCCTGATTTGAGCTCTGTAACACAATTAAGTCTATGCTGCCCTAACTCATCCCATAAACAACCCAGTATTTCTCCCTTAATGGACCATTTAAGTCAGTGTCGGGCGAGGGCCAGAACTCACGGGAGTTCCCGAGTCAGCCTCGGGTCACGCCCAGCTGGGGCGGGATGCCACGGGCAGGCCGGCCGAGGGGTGCCACAGGCCCGGTGGCGTTTCACCAGCTGCCGCTCACACGTCCTCAAAACCAGGAGAAAACGCAGAAGACACTGGCCACCCCCGGACACACAGCCTCGCTCTCTGAGAGATTTCTTCTGAGAACATGCAATGTGTTGACCCACCAGGTGGGTTTTCACTGGAGTTATCTTGTCCCTGCCCACAGAGGCGGCCCGTGGTGTCTTCCGCCCTGCCCTTCTGCTCCTTTTCAGGGCCGGCCAGGTCACTGCCACCTGGGTCACCCCTGTCTGCAGTCAGGCCACTATGCTTTCGGGAACACGAAGTAACTCTGACATTACTGAGAGTCAGTATGACGGTGAAGTATAAAGACCCCAGACGATAAATGCAATGTGCATCCTCAACATGCTTTCACCCCCTTCTGAAAGGAATGAATCAGTCAGGATTTTCCTTAAACTCTGTTAAACTCTAGTAAGGACTAATAATGGAATCTTCCAAGCAGGGGTCCTAAAGGACTGATTCCAAGGAAGACACTTATCCATCACGGTCTTTTTTTTTTTTTTTTTAAGATTTTATTTATTTGTCAGAGAGAGCACAAGCAGGGGGAGTGGCAGAGGGAGAGGGAGAAGTAGGCTCCCCACTGTGCAGGGAGCCTGATGTGGGACTCGATCCCAGGACCCTGGGATCATGATCTCAGCCAAAGTGAGATGCTTAATCTACTAAGCCACCCACGCGTCCCTCTCCGTCACATTCTTTTAAAACGTACTACACTGGGGTGCCTGGGTGCCTCAGTCAGTCAAGCACCCTACTCTTGATTTCGGCTCAGGTCATGATCTCGGGGTCCTGGGATCGAGCCGCACATCGGGCTCCTGGCTCAGCAGGAGTCTGCTTCTCCCCTCTCTCTGCCTCTCTCTCAAATAAATACATGAAATCTTTAAAAAAAAAAAAAGTACTGCACTATGATATTACGGAAGTCACCAAGACATTACTGAGGTGACTGTCAGTTCTTACAGAAATGCTTGGAATGGCTCGCATCCTGTGCATCCCGTCGGGTGTGGACGGCTCCGCGCCTTCCCTGTGTGGATCACCACCCACCCGTGAGAGCCCTTCTGCGGAAAAGCAAACACGCCGGGCACGAACGAGGCAGATGCTTCTGGAAATGGGTGCTAAGACGAAGTGTCTACTCAGTACAGACTTGATGCCAAAATATCTCCCGTGAGACTGTACCCCTAGAAGGTACATGGAGGGGGAAGGGAAAACAATTTTACATACCCAATTTCACGTCACACGGGTTCATGAGGACACATCTCCAGCACAGATTTAGGTCAA